GAGTAGGGGCAGGGGTGAGGGTGGAGAGTAGGGGCAGGGGTGAGAGGGTGGAGACAAGGGTGCCGTGGAGGCCGTTAGCTCCCCACTACAGAACTAGCTGACAAGAAAACCACGTTCCCACCACTTTCACAACGTGTGAAACAGAGGTGGCGGTCACTGCTGATTGCGGGAGAGGAGCAACAGACAAGAGACTCTCCATCAAAAAAGAGCCCCGGGAGCCGCAAGATCAGCGGCCCTCTGAGGAGGCCGCCTGCCGGTGCCCCTTCCCCCGTGCCCGCGCACCCGATGGCGGCAGTCGCCTCACGACTGTAGAACTGCCACAGCAGATCCGACACCATCATGATCTGTGAGAGTGAGATGGATATGGTTACGGACGGTACAAAATGGTAGAGGGCTGGTGGGGTTGAACACAGGTGGGGTCGGATACAGGTGGGGTCAAACCCAATCACAGCTGTAAATGCCAGGGCGGGGTGCGGGCCAAAGGGGACGTGCAGGCACCGCTTGCGGCAGGACGTGAAGGGGGGGATATCTTTTTAGGGGTTGGGGACCTAAGATTTAAAACAAGGTGGGCTGTCGTTGCCGGATGACCAAGCACACACAAGCGCACACAGGACGACCTGACGTCGCCCCATAAAAAGGGAAGACTTTGCTGCAGCCCGCCGCCGCCCATCCCCCTTCCCGTTGTCCTCCGTTGGGTCATGCAACCCCAACCAACTGAGCTCGTCTGAGACGTCCAGTGCGTCAGAACAAGTGCCATAAATCAGTCGAGGTGCCCAGTGGGTCGACACGAACGCAATAATCCATCGTTTTGCAAACAAAGGGGGTGGCCGTGGCGGCCCCGCACCTTGTCCGTGACCCTGTGGGCATACTGGAGGTTGGCTATGCCGGTGGTGGCCAGCTGCGCCACGGCGATGTGCCGCTCCCCCGTGTGGCGCAGGGCCAGGCCCACACCGCTCTTCAGCTGCCCGGACAAATAGAAGAACTCGCCTGAGGAGTTGTGTGCATTTTTGTGTGTGTGTGTGTGTGCATGTATGTGTGGGTGTGCGAGTGAGCATTTGAGTGTCTGAGTGCTTGAGTGAGTGCGCGCGCGTGTGTGTGTGTGTGGGGGGGGGGGGGGTTGAATGCGTGTTGGATATGGATGCATCCTGGAAAGGAATACTTGGGTCCATGGAAGGTGGGCGAGGGCACCCAGGGCCAGTCATGACACACAGCCGCCCCACGCTGCTGCGGCTCGACTCGAGAGGCAATGCAGGGCGGCGCAGGTGCCTCTGGGTGGCGACGCGCGTGCCATGATGCCGGCACACAGCCATGGGCTCGACACGAGGCCACCCCCCCTGCCACTGCCAGTGTCACCAGCAGGCAATGGCAGCGGCGGCGGCGGCAGCAGCAGCAGCAGTGCCAAGCACCCGCTGGACGGTGCCCACCTCCCGCGCTGAGGTTCGGCGTGATAGACTGGAAGTAGTTGAGCCCTGCATTGATGCGGGAAGCCGAGGGGTCACGAGGCTTGTCGGGCGGGGCTGAGGGCTCGACACCGGCGGGGGCCCCGGCGGGGGCCTTGGCGGGGGCAAGGACGTGGGGTTTTGCTCAGGGCAGCATGACGCCGCAATGCTCTCGCCAGCCCAGCTGTGCCCTTTCCGCGCGCCGCTGCACCCAGGGAGCCAAATTGCTGAGGTCAAGGCCGCGGCAGGCTGTGCGAGGGCGCTTTGCAGGGGCGGCGCGCGCACCGTAGAACCCCGGGTTGCCGAGCTTCAGCTGCGCATTCCAGTCTTTGCCCTGGGGCGGGGGACGAGATTAGGATGTACATTTTTTAGATCGCCACGCTTTGAGACGGTAGGCAGGCAGGCACTCGAGGGCAGGTGATGGCGCTGTTGGGCTGCTCAGTCGCCGGCCGCCCTAGGGGGGTGGTCCGGTGCCTCGCCCACCCCCCAAAGGGCTCGCCCCGCGGCGCAGCCTTGCATGGGAGGGGGCCGCCTGCTGCCTCGTGTGTGGCCAGGCGGCCCCCACTCACCAATCAGTGGTGTGCCCTCCCACACCCTGATGAGCCCCACATCAACCCCCCCCCCCCCCCGAAAAACAATGCATGCACATAATCACCACACACACACACGCACACGCACACACACACACACATCAACATAGACAGCCCGCCAAGCGCTGGTCAACCCCACTGCAACACACCAGCACCAGTCAACACGCCACCCCCACCAACACCTCAGGCGGAGGCGTCAGTCCCACCTCCAACAAGCCAACACCCAGCGTCCTTACGCCCCCCACCCCACAGACCCTGCAAAACGACCGCCGTCGCACCATGCACTCCACTCAAGCGCCAGGACGTCAACGCCGTTGCTTCTTGATAGTGGTGTTTGTCAAAAAAATGCAGTCAAGGCAACACACACACACACACACACTCCCTCAAACGTTCACACACAAACACAGCACATACCAACCCACACTTAACAAATGCAGAATCACACTCACATTCAATCACAGGCACTCAACAAACACGCATGATCCAACCTACATAAACACACACACACACACACACACACACACACACACACACACACAAAACACACAGTTCACACACAACACACACACATACATATACACACGCGCCCACCTTGATGTCCAGGTCCCCCATGATCTGGCTCTGCCCCTGCTCCCCGCTGAGCTGCATGTGCACCTTGGCCGCACACCAGTCAGTGAGGTCGCGCCTGATAGGACGACGGCAGAGAACGAGGACGTCGCACGTTGTGCGGGAGGCGAGGTGACAAGAAAGGAGGGTGGCGCGGGAGCGGACGGCTCAAGCCCCCAAGAGCGTGTGCAGGCGGCGCTGGGTCCGACGGAGTTTGAGGGGTGGGAATCGACGGCTGACGCAAGGGTGTGGTGGCAGGCTGCCAAGGGACGGGATGCCTGGACTGCAGCCACGGGGGATCCAGCCCTGCCCGCGGCGGCCACGCCACGGCTGCGACCCGCTCGACAAGGCCGCGGGGCTCGGCGCCGCGCACCTCAGCCGCCCAGACAGCCGCCCGTCCGACGTCACGCGGCCGAGAGCAAACCACTGCGAGCATGGGGCGGCGCGGCACGTGCGCGCGGCTCAGTCACTTGCATTGTCAAGCAACTGCCACAGCCCGCGCGCCGCGCGCCGGTGGTCCCGGGCACCCCATGCGGCCCCGGCGGCGCCGCCAGCAGCCGCCCTCCCCCGCGGGCGGCGCCGAGCCCTCCAAATCGCGGGCCCCTCCCGCGCTGCGCCATTCAGTTCCTAGCAGTCTCTGAACGTGCTTGTCGTGCCCGCCGGCCGTGCCCTGGCCCGGCACCCGTCCGCGGCCGTGCGTCGCGCCCCTCGGCCGCAGCCGGCTCCGCTGCTCACGTTTTCGTGGATCACATTGGCGCCGAACTCGTAGGTCCCGACAGACGTTTTGATTGGCTGCCGCGCGCCAGGTGCGGGCACCTCGATGTTGCCCATGAATACGCTGGGCGGGTGGGATTTTTGCATGTTGGATGTATATTGGGTGGAACGGGTCAATCCTGGGCGCGCGCAGGTTGGGGCGTGAGTCGCGCCATGGTGCCCACTCTGGAGACTGATGTGCAGCGAGAAGCGCTGTGCACAATGGGCTGCCCCTGCTCGGCAGCCGCTTGCTGCCTGTCTGCTTGTTCTGTCCGCGGCGCTCGTCGGGCGGCCTCCCTCTGGCCAAGACGCGCAGTGTCATGCAGAGCAGCGACACAAGACAGGGACGCACCTGTGGGTAAGGAAGAAGTTCTGGTTCAGGGGCCGCGTGATCTCAAACCGCATGCCTTCAAAAAGATCCGGCCGCAGTGCCACTGCGGAGCGGGGGAGCGGCACAGGGGGGCCGGGCGCAGCGGTTCGGGGGCGGTGCAGCTGCCTGTTGACATGCGCATGCGCGCGCACACCGCACGCACTCCTGACGGTGACGCCGTGGCGCGGCGCCTCGTCTCATTGGCCCAACACCGCGTGTCAAGACCTGCGCTACAGCGCGCCTATGCGCTGAGAAGGCAAACGGGGGCATTGAGGCACACACTGTGTCGCTGTGTGCGGCACCTGGCCGCCGCTCATCCGCTCACTCATGATCTCCCGCTGGATGTCCTCATACTTGACAGGCTGCGGCAGCTGCATGTAGTCCACCGACTCAGCCTGCTCAGAGGTTAGGGGAGGCGTTAGGACGAAGAGGGGACTGCCCTTGCAGGATATGATCTGGTGGCCCCCTCCTCGCCTTGATTTCATCGATGGCTGCCTTCACCACAGGAGAGGATGCCGCCAGAAAGTTGGGCATGGGGGGTGGGGCAGAGGCCGAGTCGGCCTTGCTCTGTGTAAGTCCCATACTTTATCGCTGCTGCTTGTGTGCGTGACCAGGCGATTTCTTCAGTCGCGTATGATGCGTTCTTATCGCACAAACCGTCCTGATCGAAGAGCGCACGACCTGCAGGCCCAGGGTGCCTTGGAACGCTCGGGAGGCGGGCCGTCGGTGTGTGCGACGAAGTGAGGCAGCAGCTGCGCCCGAAGACCACGCAGCTTGTGGTTGAGCAACAACTCTGCGTGCTCGCCGTATTCAACTAACTCGCTCGACCAGACAGGACTCGCGCGAGCCCTCCAAGCAGGTGTGTGCTACAAGGCCAGTGGCTGGCTGCGGGCAGGAGTCAATGGGGGCCAGCGCAGCCGTATACGAGGCTGGAGACCACAGGCGTCAATTAGCTGTGACGAAGCAAGGCAGTGCGGGAGTGTGCAGCAGCAGGACACAGCAAGCAGTGGCACGGCGCACATAAGGCCTGGCCGCGGGCGACTGACATCCAGCATCGCTCATTGGCACAGAAACAACCGTATCAAATGACTGCCGATGGCAACGAAGGCCTGGCAGCATCGCTGAGCCAGAGCAGTGCCTGGCGCCCGTCTTGATGGCCCGTCTCTAGGGACGGCTCCCAATTTCGGCCTGTTCGATGCATGAATGCGATACATGTGCTCCATTACACTCTTCTGCTTGCACGCAGGCAGTCCAGAGCACTGCACGCGCATCGTCAAGCGGCGCTCGCCACACAGCGGCGGCGGCACAGCAGGCAGCGGCGGCGGCGGAAGACCCGCGCCCTACAACAGCAGCAGCAGCAGCAGCAGCCATGGCCTCGGCTCTCGGCGCCAGCACCATGCAGTCGTCCTTCATGGGCGCCGGCCTCCGCGCCCGCGGCGGCGCGTTCACCGCGCGCGTCTCCGCGCCGCGCAGCGTCGCCGTGCGCGCCGGCTTCAACAACATGGTCAAGCTCGGCGGCGGCAAGAAGTGGGAGCGGCAGGAGCTGACGCCCAACGGCAAGCCGGTCAAGATCACCATGCACGTCAAGAAGGGCGACATCGTGCAGGTGGTTGCCCGCATGGGGTGTGGGGTCGGGTGGCATCGCGTTCGGACAGCGCCCCGGGGGGCAGGGGGGTTGTTGAGGGCGCACACGTCCACGCAAGCCTCAACCCGCCTTGGTTGAGGTGGGAAGTGTGATTCCCTTTCGCCACTGTCTGGCGGCGGGGCGGACGCTGCCGGTAGAGCAGGCTGCGCCCGCTGCGCTGCGACGGCGCCTTCGCGCCGGGCGCGGGGCCGGCCGCCGCAGCCGGCGCGGCGAAGTAGCAGGCGCAGTGCCGCGACCCTGTCCTCAGCGGAAGTCTGCTTTCCAGCAGGAAAACAGCTGGCCAAGGCAGCTGCCGAGGTGATCTTGTATGCGGCCCCAGCTACTGCTGGGCCACTCCTCTCCCGCCATCTCCCCCTGCGGCCGACCTGTTGCCTCCTGGTTGCCCGCCCCCCGCCACCTCGACAGGTGATCGCCGGCGACGACAAGGGCGCGGTGGGCGAGGTGGAGAAGGTGCTGACTAAGCGGGGCCTGGTGGTGATCAAGGGCGTCAACATTAAGGTGGGGCCGGCGGCCGGCACATAATGTCAACATGATGTCAGCGCATGTCAGCATCTGGTTTAGGAGGCCCGTGGGTTTGTGTGCATGCGTCCTTTGGGAAGCGGCAGCGGGTTGGGCCGGGGGGTGCGGCGAGCCGGCGTGGCGACTCAGCGGCGGGGCTGTCGGCCCGGGGTGGGTCGCCGTAGGGCCCGTGTGCACCTCGTCGCACAGGCTCCCCGCCCACACCCTTCCGTCCGCAACCCTAACCGCACTCTTCCGACACGCCCTCTCTCCCCCAGACCCGCAACGTGAAGCCGAGGAGCAAGGACGAGCAGGGGCAGCAGAAGAAGGTTGAGTCGCCCGTCCACCACTCCAACGTGATGCACTACTCCCAGGCCAAGGGCGTGCGCAGCCGCATCGGATACAAGGTGCGGCGCACGCACACGCGCACGCGCACGCGCACGAGCGCGTGCCGCCCATCGGGAGCGTCGCGGCGGGGTGCTCGCGGGGGCTCCGCGCCGGGTGCGGCGCCCGCCTGACGCCCGCGTCCCGCCAGGCCTCGCCAGGCGCTGGCGTGCCTGCGGCACTTGCTGGGGCTTGGGCCAGCTGCCTGGCTCGGCTTCAGCTCGACCTTTATGGACCATCCACCCCCTAAAAACACACACGCACACACGCATCATCCAACACACAACACTCTTACATGCTCCCCCATCCCTCCTCCTGACACCCCAACCGCCCAGTACCCCAACACTCGCCCCTGCCAATCCTCTCTAATCTTACCACGAAAACCTCCCACGAAAAACCTCCCGTAACCCCCAGGTCCAGCCTGACGGCAGCAAGGTGCGCTACCTCCTCAAGACCGGGGAGGAGCTGCCCAACAAGCCCCTCGAGAAGGCCACCCCCCCGGCGGCCGACGGCGGCGCGGCGCCGAGCGCCTAGGCGCATGGGGGCGGCGGCGTCCGCCCGGCCCCCACTGGGCGCGCCGCGGTCTGCGGGTTATGCAACGACTTATTGTAACGCCTCTGTCATGCCGGGAGGACGAGCTTCGCGCGTTGCGGCTGCAGGGCAGCGGCCTGAGGGGCATGGGGACAGCACAGCAGCACACAAGGCAGCTGCGCAGGCCGTGTAAACATGCGCAAAGCGGTCTGGCCAGGCCGTCTGAACGCAATTTAGGCGCAGCCTGCGATTACACGACAAAAGGGGTGCAGTCAATTTTCAATCGAGTCTCTTATAAGGCAGGGACCGGGGCCATCAATGCGTTGCTCTTCCGCAGTTACCGTCACCGGCCCCCGCCGCCACCGCCCGCCGCCGCCGTTGCCGCCGCGGTCGCCGCGTTCCACCCCCGCGCCGCGCTCGCACGCCACGCTGCGGCGATGTCCGCCCCCTTCGCATCGGCGCCGCTGAGGCCCGCTGTGCGGTCAGAGGGGTCAAAGTTGCCCCTTGAAACCCCCAGCTTCTCCCCGCGCCGCTTGGCTTCTGCCAGGGGACCCAGCGTCTTCTTGAGGCAGTCGGGGGTGAGCTTGCGGCCCACCACTATGAAGGGAACCTTGGCATTCTGGGCTGTCCGGTAGCCCTGCGGGTGTGGCCACAATGGGGCCGGGGAAGGGGGGGCGGCGCCAAGGTAAGAGCAAGCACGTGCATGACACATAAGATTTGCTAGGTGGGGGCGTCAGCGGCTGGGGGTGGGGTTGAGAGCCGCGAAACAGTCAGCAGCGGCGAGTGGCGTCAAAGGAAGGGCGGCAGTGTGGGGTGGGGCGGGCCGCGACAGAGCGGCGGGCTGGGGGCCGTCCACACACAACTGCAGCCTGCACGTCTCCATCAGCGGAAACCAAGAGCGAACCTGCAGGAGCCTGACGGGCGTGCCGTTCGGCGTAAGCTTGACAGACACCAGAACGTCCGCCATCGCCAGCTGCGTGGGGCGGGCGGAACGCGGGGGGGGGGGGGGGCGCCGGAGCGAACGGTCAGGTGCGGTGGTGTGTGCGTGGGCGGACGGGCGGTGGTGCTAAGGTCGGCCGCTGCCGCAAAGAGCCAAAGCCCCAGTCCCACGGCTGATTTGAATTCAGAGAGCTCGAGCGGGCCCACTTAATCAGTCGCCGCGAGGCGGGCGCGGGGCGCACCCCCCCTGGTCCACGACCACCACCCTGCCGTCCATGCCGGCCGCGGTGACCGCCGCGCGCAGCTTCCCGCCATCCATTGAGAACCTGAAAATGCGGAGCGCCTTGGGG